GCGCTGCGCCGCAACCGTAGGTGGTAGGACCGGGATCCACTGTTTGCAGTCGGAAAAAGGCACGTGAAAAAAAAAATGCAATATTCCGGCAATGTAGTCCACGTTTGCGTGACGTACACCACAATCCCAAGCTGTACACTGTCTGTCTCGGCAAATAGAAATAGCGTGTCATACCCACCACCAACTCTAAAATGGAGGCCCCCTTCCTGGGATACATTATATACCCAATCGTCTGAAATACCAAAAATGTTTGCGAAACCAAACATCCTACAGAAGTGTACATGCAACGAAAATTGCATCCGAACTCCCCCTCCGCGAACCGAAACCGAACTGAGTCGACGATAAACGTGGCTCACCTCCGGCATCTTTCAGACGGTGTGGGCAAACCAAAGCGATGAGCGTGTACCCAGCAGTGACGAACGAAATAAGCGTACGGCTTTCCTCCCACACAAAGATGGACGGTTTTTTCTGAGAACGCGGCTTGTGGCTTCGTGCCAAGCCTCAGGCAATCTCAGGCACATGTCCAGTTCTTTCTTGTGTACACGCAATCGCAAGTTCTGCAAACGGAGGTATGTTACGAACACAGAATTCCGCAGCTACTCCACCAACACCAAATACTTTACTTCGCTTCACTTGTTTTCCCGCACGAGCGGTCTCACAGGTAGAAAAGCAGCCCTTTATCAACTCGGAGTGGATCCCCTCACAGCCTATGTCGAATTCCACAAGTCACTGGCCGAACAGCCCGTGGGACCTTGGCGAAATGTTCAACCCAAATCTCCGTGCGTTGATCGCTGTCACTCGCTGTCCCAGAGGTCCCCGTGCATGTTCGCAATCTATTATGTAAAATGCTTTTTGGATCTCGACGGAACCGTCGGATCTCATCCCAACTGCCATTGAATGCGATTTTGCTGAACTGCCTGTTTGATGTCGAACGTGTAGGCACGCTCCCGAAGCGGTCGCTGTGACTCTTGCCACGGTCCCGGACTTTCAATAATCTTCGCGTCAGTTCCCTGATCCATGGTCTTGCTGGCTTGCCAAAAAAGGAAGGTGAGTGCTGCACCTTGAAATGCATCCCTCGTGTCATACAATATGTCTGCGGACAAATCGCCGATACTGAAGCGCTGCTGGTCGTTATCCAAGATTGCCCCAGGATGAATTGCATGAATGGGATTTTTCAACGCCGCCGTCATGAGTTGTTGCTGGCATCTGGTTTTCATGGTTCGGTATTTTGGTACGCTAATGCTGGCCTGTGCCATGACAGAGAAGTGGTGAGAAGCCAACGCCAACCGCTGTCGAGTCGCAGTGGCGTTCACAACGAGCCGTTGAAGCCCGTCGCACGTGAGTTCCTCGAAGCGCGCGACTTTGCGTTTGCGTCTGCAACAGCAGTAGTTTCCCCCGCCCGTGCGTCGGCCCCAAGGACGGGTCGCCAAGCGCGAGTGAGTGGGGACACCAGGGTTGCGTCACAGCACAAAGCCTCGCATTGGTGGTTCCCGCGCAAACAAGGATACGTTTGAAGTGGAATCTTCTTGAAAAACAAATGCTTTCATGCCTGTGTTTGCCAAATGCCCGAACACAGTTGGCAATCGGAGGGTCTGGTCGTGCCGCAACAGTGGCTGGCGCGCACAACCGCAACGCAAATCCACGCAAACGACCGTCGCTGCCTCGACTCCGACTGCACGAGCACCGCAAAATTTCCTTGGAACTCACCTGTGGATTGGCCCGCTGCATAAAACACATGTCTCGGCCACAAAACGTGCTAATCCGCGGGTCTGCGCTGGAAACATCCCGAAACGTTATTACGAAAAGATGCAACAAAAATGCTCACACCTGTGTCTGCCAGCAGCTTAGTCCGGCTCTTAAGAAGGTTCGGTCCAGGCTTAGGGCCGGTTCAAGGTCGGCAAGGTCCAACACTTCATCCAAGATAGGCATGATAGGCGCATCAGCCTGACCACGATGCTGCCTGTCAACTGTTGCCCCCACTGGGCGAGACTCCATATTGGGCAAGACTCCCTGTCTGCAAGACCAGCGACCGTACGTGATGGGGTGCAAGAGCGACGCTGACTGCAAGTGCGAATTTGGCCGCAAAGTGTCTACGTGATCCCAATTGGAGACATAGGTTGTGTGGGACCTGTTTACGAGGCATGCTGTAACCTTTGCTTTAAACAGCTCCTGCACCCGGTTTGGAGACCCCATTATACCCCGTTCGACACACCAGCGCTTTGTCAACTCATGCTCGACAAACGAAATCCAAGAAGAAGGCTGGCCGGCAGACGCGAAACAATTTTGTGGCAAGCTCCACGGTGGGGGGCCCATGACCCAGCTGCTTGAATGAGACACGTCATTGCAGCATCATGCCACCCAACATCACCCAAACTACGTAACCTTGAACAGCAAAGCTGGGTGAAACATGAAACCATGTGACCCACGCAGGAGACGCCGACCCCATTGAAGGAGACGAGTTTGAGAGCGTGCTATCTGCAGGTCTGCCGGAACAAATTCCAATCCGAAGCCGATAGAAGGATGCGCATATAATTTTTGTCCGAAACACGTGTACCACAACCCGAAAAATTAGAATTTATGGGGTCTGCAGACCCCGTTCACAACAATCACGCCGGCATCTTCTGCTCAGCGATCTGGACCCGGATTTGGTGGAGGGGAGTTGGTGCTGGCACCGCATTCAGAGCCAAAGCGGGTGCCATGCAGCGATACCGTCGGCACTGCATTGAGGCACGGAAGTCCAGTGCATGCGATTGTCCGGCATCTCAGCGAAATCAAGCACGTGTCAGGCAAGCCGGTTGCAGCAAGAAGCCCGGATGCGCAATAGCTCTGCCGGTTCGGCCACATGAACCCAGCGAAATGTTCTGAGAGCACGGAAAACGGCGTAGGCCGTCTCGTCTCCGGCGCCGGCGCACGTGCCTACAGATCGACCCGAAGGAGAATATTGGGTTGCTGCGGTGAATGGCAGCCCGGCAATTCGGCTTTTGCCGTGGAAGTACGCGCAGCGAGGCATGACTGCAACACGGGTATGCGGCGGCTCAGCTGCGGACTTCGGGCCCGGCGGCAGAGCAGGCAGACAGGGCAAGCGGACCACTGCAGGTGCCGCGAACTCCGGAAATTCGGACCAACATGTTTTTCGAAAGGCCGAACAACACGATGAAAATGATTGCGTGCTGCGTGGAATGCTGCATTTGGTGATATCACAAGCAGTCACGCTTTCATTTCTGGCTCGCCATGCAACGTTGCGTTGAACACTGGCGTGGCCTTGCAGCTCGGATGAAAGGGTCCACTCTCCACGCTGGAAGGCCACGGCGCAGTCAGCAGCTCGGCTCGCACTTGCTCGTTGCTGCGTGGCATGCTTGACCGCATGTGCGGCCCGAGCACGAACAGTTTCCACGCCCATGCCGATCGGGCTGCAGTGGCCTCATCGGTTTCGGGGCCGGGCAACCACTGCACGGACGGTAAATGCATCGTATACCAGACACCGTGGCATCTCTCTCCATCTTTTACACTCGCGGATTGGAAAAACCGTATGCTGTCCCACGCTTCAAACGGCTGCACGGCTCCACCAGCTTCGCAGAGCGGCAGGAAAATCCGGCTTCCCACTGGGACCAGCACCGGCGACTCAGTCTGTCCCGGCGTTGGGGTTGGGCGGCCTCCATGAATCAACCCGAATCACAACCCCAATGTCCGCTGCCAGCATGGCGACCACCCCAGGGTCCGTGGCCTCTGTTTTCCAGAGGGGCCGTTGTGGCAAAGCCCTAAGCCCTAGTCGATGTTTGCCTGGTCCTCTTCTTCGGACTTGACAATCTTGACAACACACACAGTAGCAACAAGAAGAACCAGAAGAATCCTGGCACTTGTCGATCTGCCTGCACTAACAGATGGTGTCCATGAGAAGGGATCCAGGCTTGACAAAATGATTAAAAGATGTCGGCGCGCATCCTACGGGGTGAGCCGAGAAAACAAACTATCAGATGCTAGCAGGTTGCAGATCATTCACATCATTGTCGAACGACAGTCGGGAAAGTCAGTCTTTTGCAAGAGTTCCGCTACCCGCTACCACTGGGAGTAGGCCGGCTCACAACAGGCTCCTGGCTCTTTGAGCGAGGCTCAGCCAATAAGCCTCGGCTTGCCGGCCACGGAGACCAAGTTGATGCAGTAGCGGTTGCCGTTCGAGTCCTCGGCTCCCCCGCAGTATCCCTAAAGACAGACGGAGGTGTGCTTTGATCTCAAGCCAAGATTGCACTGCTTACCGTGGCGTCAATTTACCGAGCTGCTGGAATGTTGTGGCCAAGATGGGTCCCATCCACTGAAACGCACTCGCCACCGGGCAGGCAGCGAACGTTCTCCCAATTGACCTCCTGCCAATAGCTTGCAGTTTCATACTCCGTATCTCGCCACAGCCATGTTAGCGTCTGAAATCAAAAAACTCGTGGTCGCTCGGCGCCCTGCGAACGAGGGATTCCGTGAATGGCAAGCTTAGGGTGTCCTTAGGTCGGCCTGGGCACATGGAGCCTGAGACTGTTGCGAGAGATTCTGGTAACGCTCGCCAAAAATTGGAAGCTGCATCGCTTCGCGTAAACCTGAAGATTCGTAGCCTCAGTACGGTCTACCTACAGGATCCTTGAATTGGGGAGTCGTAATCATGTTCAGTCTCGAGAGTTGCTGCTTGGGGTCTTGGGCTTACAAATGAACATTGACTTGACATCCAAACCCCTCCAGCCTTAAACCGCTGGACGCACCAAAGCACGAAAGCCCAGACAACGCCCCTTCCTCGTCGCGGAAGGAAGGCCAACCGTGGGACTTGGACTCCTCCAGAAGGCAGGGACTCGCAAGATTCGAAATTTTGTGGGGAGCCTTTCAGGAATTGCCAAAGCGCAGGCTCCCCAAACGCATGCTCTCTCCAGAACTGTTGCAGCAGGATCCAGCGCTTCAGCACCAGGCATGAAAGCTGAAGTCAGCCAGCTGATCCCCAATGGCAAAAGACTTACGGCCCTCCTTCATTTCAGAAAGGATCTACTCTGTCAACAGAACGATTCTAACAATCGCAGGCGAGCAGAATCAAGAGAGGCATCATTATCTTCATTATCACCCTCACGAAGAGCATCACAACAAGTACTGCAGCACCACACCACCACCACCACCACCACTAGCACTACACGACAACCAGCAGCAGTCATTTATTTCGCCTCGCTACACAATACCAATGGCCAATAGCAGCATTAATCGAGACAACAAGGCATTTATGCTGCACAACATCCGGTCGCCAAGCCTTCTCAAACTGCTCCCAGGTCCTGCAACAGAATGGTGCCTAAACAGTGCTACGAACAGTAACCGTAATACTTTGCTGTCAGTTGAGTCCTGACCCTACACGTGCGAAGAGGGCTTCCGACTCGCATATTTGGAAAAAAACTGTCTTTCAAGCTGCAGTCCAAGTCATGCGAAGGCTCAAGCATGTGCGCACCGCCACAAAACCGCCGGGTTGAGCTTCCGAAGCGGGGTGCGAGCTGCTGGGCCTTCCCTTCGGGGCTTCGAAGAGCGGCTTCCCCGTCACGGAGTCGTAGAACGTCTCGCCCTGAAGTCGCTGCGCTACTTCGGGTCGGGATTTAAGGGTGCTGGGACAGCGAGCTAGGTTAGAAACCCTGAGAGCAGAAATCACTCCCAGGAAAGCGCCTCGCGATTGGCCTCAGTGAGGAAAGCAGTCGAGCGCCAGTAGCCTGCGTATTCCGCGAAGTGCCGGTTGAAGCTGCAGATCCTGCCCAGAAAAACCGAGCCTACGGAAGTTCAGTCAGTGTTGCCATCATAGCTTCCAGATACTTCCAGCAGCAGGAACCTGCAACCCGGTAACAGTTCTCACAAATGAAACCGCAGTCATTTCAAGACACGCCCTTCGCGAAGATTCTGCAACACCCGAAACGAGCCCCTGATGACAAAAAGCGGCCTGTCTGCGGTGTTCCAGTCCACGTTCCATCGAAGGCCCTCCTCACCAAAACGACAGAAAGGGCCGGCCCGAATCTTGGGAAGCATTGAGCGAGGTGTGCATTGGACCCACCAACTACAAACCTTGGACGGACAGAGCTCGATCATCCGGAATTTCAGGCTTCCATGCTTGAGACCTTGAGACTCCAGCTCGAGGCTGAGTCTCTCCCAAACTCCAAACTGTGTGAGCCCAAACTGCTCGCACCCTCAACTTGCCGTCAACTCTTATAGCAAAGCCTGAACTCCCAGACCCAGAAATCTCAACCAAAGCCTTTTCCAAGTAGCCCGTTCGAGAAACTGCGTTGGGACCTCCCTATCGCCTGCACGGGTCGATCCGTGGAGCCGTGACTCTTCGCAGCCATGATGTCATCGCTGCCTCACCAGGAAAGATTTGAGCTTGCGCTTTTAGGCCTGAGCTTCGCGGCGCGGTGCGAAGTGTGGGATGCAGCCTGTCGTGACATCTCATGATTCTATTGGAAAGCTGAACATGTTCATCAGACATCAAATTCTGCCCTATAACCATCCGCTGCCATCACTGTGTCCGGAATGCTTGCCGGTGTGTACGCTCAGAGGTCAAAGCAGGCTTATTCAAAGGGCACATGTTTCCCTGTGCCTCAAAGATATTCCGAGCTGGAAGCCCTCTAATTACAAACTGTTTCTGTCATTCTGACTTGACGATGAACGTTGATTTCCACCAGGTCTCCAAACGGCCTGCGAGACAACAACGAAACAGAATGGTGCGAAGAAAACCGCCGGCCTTGGACCGGATACTGGCCGGCTCGGGTCGGACGAAGCTTCGACAACGCGGCACCCGTCACTGCCAGGGCGCCAACGATCCCACGGCGCCAGGAGCCCTGCATGGGCCAAAAAGATTTGAGGGGAGGTGTTTGAGTCCAAGGAATTTAACCAACGGTTTGAGGAGTTGAAGGCATTGGAGTACAAGCATCGGCCGGTGCTGCCTCGACTTGTAAAGCTCACATACCCTTATCTCTTTGGTATCCAAATCCCCAAAGCCATCGGAACGATGCTTCGCTACACGACCCGACACAGCAGATTCTGCTGAGCCGCCACATTCACGGGGCTAGCGGCTAGCTTTGATCAGCAATCCCTGTAGTCCACTCAAGTGCCCGGCTTCGGATGCAGATTTCTTTCCGCCAGCTCCTGGTCAAGCAGTGCCGGAACAAGTGAACCCACTCCCAACAGTGCGACACCCGCGTCCGCCTGACCAGTACGTCTGTACGTTCACACGGAAACTCTCCATCTGTCTCCTTTATCTGGCCCGGCCCCACGTGCCACGATGGAGCCGCGCAAACTGCTCTTTTCGATGCTTGGCCTTGGCAATGTACCAAGAGAGGGCACTAACAACGACCCTATCGCTTGTAGGTGCTGCCGAGAAACGTCACAAATCCAACGTTCCACAAACAAACAGCCCAGGTGGCGAGGATAGCTGCCGCGAGCATCCGCATGTTGAAAAGGATCGCCGGCAGTTCCAAGATTCTACGACTACAAGACAGAGCCACAAATCAAGACTGTTTGAAAATCGCAGAACTCACAAGATATGGACATGATTGGCCATGAACAAAGCAACCAACATGATCTTCTGGTCCGAAATTGCTGCAACAGCCTCATGCGAGACGACGCGCTTACGAAGGTACGTGTTAGCAAAGCTCAAAAGTTTTCCTCTCCGATGTACATGCCGGGAACAATCGTCGGAGCACACACAGGATAGGGGGTCCTGAGGGTACAAATTAAAACTCGGCCGCTTTTTCACGCAAAAACGGCCTCTTCGAGCTTCCTAGATTTCCTGAAAGCCCTATCGTGTTCTT